TTTACAAGCAAATAAATATGTAAACAAAAATCATCTGTTCTAAATATTTTCAAGACTAATATGCACAACGTGTGTTCTCGATTATTTGAGTTTGCAAGGATGCACAGACATCCTGAATACCCCTAATATTTCTTTATATAATAAATTTTAAGAAGGTTATGTACACTTTTTCCAATATTTTCTTAATTATGTGTCCATAATATATATTGCTAATGGAATAATAAGGATTCTTTAAAAACAGAAAGGTTTTCAAACATTTTTTTATGAAACAAATAGTATTCTATAGTAGTGCTGTTCGTATTCGGTTTTACGAAGTAGCCTCGAACTTATCTGTCGAAGGATCTATTAGAAAGGAACTGGTGGATAACACTACAGAGTGTTGTAAGGAAGCCGAAGTGGCATAGTTTGTGCATCAGACCTTCGAACCATACGGTGTCGAAGGAAAGCCTTCCAACACTCTGTTGTTGCTTTCAATACAAAATGAAAATTTGACACTAGCATCTCACTTCATTTTGCATTAAAAGCAACAACAATTGCCATGACGTGACTGCAATCATAACAAGCCGCTTAGACAATTCCATTTATTTCATTGATTAGACGTTAAAAATATAAATAATTATACAACCAGCTCAACTGCAAAGTTAAGCTGCTTTGCTATAAACAGCTAATTCGCGCCTTATTCACGTACGCCTTTCACTATTTGGTCTGCAATCTCTTTCGCCCATATGGAAAGAATCTGTCTTTTCGAGATATATATGTATGTTCTTTGTTTTTGGTTGAAACTTTTAAGAAAAAAAATGTATTTGAAACAAATGAACTCTAAATTATTTGAGTTTATAGAAATTTTCTTTGATGTTGTGGTGCTTTTATATGTATTTTTAACCATTATATATCATTTATATACCATATATATGGTATATAAATTAATTTCTTTTAAGGTTTTTCAATAATTTTTGTAATTTCTATGTAATTATTTTCCTTAAACTTTTACATTGTATAAAAATAATATGCACTTATTTCATTTACCGATATTGATTAAAACAACATTTGCTTTTAAATTCACTTTAATTACCACTTATTTATAAAATAAATTGTTTTATATCATAACAAAAAAATATGTTTTTAATTATTTAAATTTCTTTTCTTAATTTATGTTTAACTAAATTATATATATATATATATATGCATAAATTTTTAATTGATTCGTATTATTGTGTTCAAGATTTCTCCTCAAAACAAAATTTTTCTTATAAATTTTAAATTTAAAATCAAATTTTTTTTAATATAATAATAAAATATGTAGGAATTGTACTGCTTATAAGATCTTTTCAAATGTGGACTCGGTTATCTTCTCCGTCACTTTTTAAATACCTGTCCACCGTCTCGGTATTTCATTATTTTAACGATGTATAAAGCTGCCGTTATTCATATAGTCCAACTTTTTAATATTGCAGATGATTGTTGGAATTATTATAAATGAGTGTTGGAACACCTATGCTCGATTAATTTCATCACACGTATTTCATTGATATGTTAATTTATTATCACTATTTAAACAAGGATATGTATTGTTTTTAATTGTTAAAAATCTTGAATCTTTTTATTTAATCTCCTTCAGTACCTTTCATTCACAATTTTAAATTCACGAAAATTTACAAAAATAAAAAAAATCTCCACAGGTACAAAAAAATTTCTCCCGCACATATAAAAATCATAAAAGTCTTCGAACAGCACTGCACTCGGACTTATATTTTCCGATATCTTGACAGTATCCAAAGCACACCTTTTAAAGGTCCAAATGCGATCAGCACACTGGCCCATAAGGGCTGTCGTGAAGACGGAACCTCTTAGGGCATTGATCTTAATCTTCCACTTACCGTAGTAACGTAGTAAACAGAGTGAGTCCTAAGGTAATTGTTATTCCAGTGTAGTTTAAGGGTGAAGTTGGACCTCATTCATATTATATAATCATCTTGTCAGTTCTTGCGTTTTTGAGTATTTGAATTGATAAGGAAGGAGTTTGAAATTTTTACAAGGTTGTGGTTTTCGCTCGAAACAGCCATTTTTCGTTGCAGCTGTATGTTCTGTTGGAAATTCGATTATTCAAATTTCGTTTTTATTATTCACTCCTGTTGAAATGTTTCCGTTACGTTTTATTATTTTTTAGTTGTTATTTCATATTTCAATTATTACATAATTGAAAAATTTAAAAACAGCTTATTTTTCTTAAATTTGGACTATTTGCTCTCTTGTATTAGCAAAATAGTTTTCTTCGTAATTTCGTGGTATTTATGTTTAAATCTGCATTCGTTTAGTTTTTGAGCTGGCTCCATTTTAAATAAACTTTCATACCGGTTCCATTCGTGTTTTTATGCTTTCTTCCTCATCTCATTGTATTTACCAAGTCTTGCTTCCTTTTGGTTTTGCTTTTAAATGGGCATGGTTTTTATTTTCTACAACCATAATAATCGATGAATCTTTTTCCTATTTGATTTAACCCTTTTATTTGTTAATATCTTTTTCAACTTGGTGACTTTCCTTTTCTAGTTTTCTATTTTATTAAGACAATATTCTGAGTTTTGTTGTTGAGTTATATCTTAATGGAGGTTATTATTCTTTTATTTTATATACATTTTATACTTCAACTATTGGTACTTTTTTCCTTTTTAAATTAAATTGTTCTTTTTTATTTTCACAATTACTCTTTTTTTGTCATTTGAGTGGTTGTAATATTTGTTTGCGTTTCTTACGCTTTTCTTCTTGTATTGGTGCCTTTTTGGTTAAACTTTCCTTTAATAATACTTTCCATTTACTTTTTTTTTTTTTTAGTTGTCATTTTAAGCTGTCATTTACATGGTTTAAAAATATTTTCTTTGTTTTTATCGCATACATTTTGTCAAATAATTTTCGATTTCATCCATTAGCTTTTTAACATCCTTTGTACTATTTTTTCTTATGAGGTTCGGAAAAAAAAATATCAGATACAGAATCCGACAGGTCTAGTATTTTAGTGACGACATTGACTCCATATCGCATAATTTAATAGACCTAGTCAGCTGTAAGCAGTAAGCAATAAGCCGCGTGATGTCATGATATTCCAAATTGTATATGGTACAGTAACAGCTTTGGTAGGATTTACAAGCAACATTGTCTATAAGTATAAATTAATATTTTATTGACTTCTTTTTAATTAAAAATTAGTTTGAGTTTAAATAGTTAATGAAATTATTACAATCATGATTTTATATAGATACTTAGGTGTGGCTAGATAGTAAGCTTAGGCTTAGACTGTTTTCACACCTATTTCTTATATTGTTTAGAGCACTATTTGTGCTCAGTATTCATTTATTATTCATTTAAATAATAAATAATGAGCCACATTATTTTTATTATTTAACAAGACTAATTCGGTATATACTTTGTGATAATGATTGAAATTATATATTTTCAATTTGAGTTCATGTAACCGTAAACATATGCATATATTATACCTTTATACTATAATATATTATAATTATTGTTCTGCGATTGACACAGAACTATTCATTTTATTTAAAAATTATTCTTATCGCTGCACATTAATTGAGTTTATAATGAAATGAAAACTTCAATAATATAATATGTAGACAGTGTCGTAGCCGCATAACACCAATTTGTTTGACAGAGGTTCATGTTAAGTAAATATGGTATGTGATTCATTGCAGAGGAACTTAAGGGTGAAATATAGAAAATATATTAATATTAATATATATCATATTGTCAGTTCTTCCGTTTTTCAGTATTTGAATTGATAAAGAAATGACTTTGAATATTTTTTCAAATGTTCTCATTTTTGGACCTCATGCAGATGAGACAATCATCTGTGTAGCAGATTTGCCTAATGCATTGAGGAGGAAGGGAAAATGAGAAGGAAGGAGAAGGAAATATTTACAAGGATGGGGTATTCGCTAGAAACAGCCATTACTCGAAACAGCTGTATGGTCAGCTAAAAATTCAATTAACTAAAAATTTCGTTTTTACAATTCACTACTGTTCGAAACCTGTCAGTTACATTTTATAATTTTTTAATTGTTATGTCATGATTTCAATTATAAAATAATTAATAATCAATTTAAAAACAAAATATTTTTCTTATAATTTGGTACTATTTAAAAACCTTTGCATTAGCAAAACAGTTTTCTTCGTAATTTTCGTCGTAATTATCTTTAAATCTACATTCGTTTAATTTTGGAGAATCGCTCAATTTTATAAGAAACTTATAAATAAAGTGTTCAATTAAAAATTAAAGGATAACTTCAAAATACCATATGTATTTAACGAAAAATTGCTTCACATTCGGTTATACTTTTTATAATAGAAAAGATTTTTACTTTCTACAATCCATAATAAGCGATGAAACTATTTTCCAGAATTGATAGAACCCTAGTTTAATGGACAATAAAATTTGCAACATTGGTGACTTTCCTTGTTCTAGTATTCTATTTTATTAAGAAAATATCCTCAGTAATGTCGTTCAGTTATATCTAAATGGGACATAAATATTCTTATATTGTATATAAATTTTAAAATACAAATATAGGTACATTTTTCCTTTGTAAATGAAATTGTTCTTTTTTATTTTCACAATCACTCTTCATTTGTCATTAGAGAGGTTGTAACATATATTCGCCTTGCATAAACATTTCTTCTTGGATAGGTGCATATTTGGTTAAACTTCCCGTTAATAATACTTTCTATTTAAGTCTTTTTTTATCTAAATTCGAAATTTTAAGCCCACATTTAAATGGATTAAAAATAATTTCCTTCTTTTTATCGCATACATTTTGTCAAATAAATTTCGATTTCATCAATGAGTTTTTTAACATCCATCGCACTAGTAATTCGTATGAAATGCGAAAAAAAAACATCAGATACAGAATCCGACAGGTCTAGTATTTTAGTGACGACATTGACTCCATATCGCATAATTTAATAGACCTAATCAGCTGTAAGCAATAAGCAATAAGCCGCGTGATGTCATGATATTCCAAATTGTATATGGTACAGTAACAGCTTTGGTAGGATTTACAAGCAGCATTACCTATAAGTATAAATTAATATTTTATTGACTTCTTTTTAATTAAAAATTAGTTTGAGTTTAATTAGTTAATGAAATTATTACAATCATGATTTTATATAGATACTTAGGTGTGGCTAGGTAGTAGCTTAGGTGAATAAAAAGGAGGGTAAATAATATAAAGAGATAGAATCTTTATAGTATACACATTAGACTGTTTTCACACCTATTTCTTATATTGTTTAGAGCACTATTTGTGCTCAGTATTCATTTATTATTCATTTAAATAATAAATAATGAGCTACATTATTTTTATTATTTAACAAGACTAATTCGGTATATACTTTGTGATAATGATTGAAATTATATATTTTCAATTTCAATCAATCAAGACTAATATGCACAACGTGTGTTCTCGATTATTTGAGTTTGCAAGGATGCACAGACATCCTGAATACCCCTAATATTTCTTTATATAATAAATTTTAAGAAGGTTATGTACACTTTTTCCAATATTTTCTTAATTATGTGTCCATAATATATATTGCTAATGGAATAATAAGGATTCTTTAAAAACAGAAAGGTTTTCAAACATTTTTTTATGAAACAAATAGTATTCTATAGTAGTGCTGTTCGTATTCGGTTTTACGAAGTATTCTCGAACTTATCTGTCGAAGGATCTATTAGAAAGGAACTGGTGGATAACACTACAGAGTGTTGTAAGGAAGCCGAAGTGGCATAGTTTGTGCATCAGACCTTCGAACCATACGGTGTCGAAGGAAAGCCTTCCAACACTCTGTTGTTGCTTTCAATACAAAATGAAAATTTGACACTAGCATCTCACTTCATTTTGCATTAAAAGCAACAACAATTGCCATGACGTGACTGCAATCATAACAAGCCGCTTAGACAATTCCATTTATTTCATTGATTAGACGTTAAAAATATAAATAATTATACAACCAGCTCAACTGCAAAGTTAAGCTGCTTTGCTATAAACAGCTAATTCGCGCCTTATTCACGTACGCCTTTCACTATTTGGTCTGCAATCTCTTTCGCCCATATGGAAAGAATCTGTCTTTTCGAGATATATATGTATGTTCTTTGTTTTTGGTTGAAACTTTTAAGAAAAAAAATGTATTTGAAACAAATGAAACTCTAAATTATTTGAGTTTATAGAAATTTTCTTTGATGTTGTGGTGCTTTTATGTATTTTAAACCATTATATATCATTCATATATATGGTTTATAAATTAATTTCTTTTAAGGTTTTTCAATAATTTTTGTAATTTCTATGTAATTATTTTCCTTAAACTTTTACATTGTATAAAAATAATATGCACTTATTTCATTTACCGATATTGATTAAAACAACATTTGCTTTTAAATTCACTTTAATTACCACTTATTTATAAAATAAATTGTTTTATATCATAACAAAAAAATATGTTTTTAATTATTTAAATTTCTTTTCTTAATTTATGTTTAACTAAATTATATATATATATATATATGCATAAATTTTTAATTGATTCGTATTATTGTGTTCAAGATTTCTCCTCAAAACAAAATTTTTCTTATAAATTTTAAATTTAAAATTAAATTTTTTTTAATATAATAATAAAATATGTAGGAATTGTACTGCTTATAAGATCTTTTCAAATGTGGACTCGGTTATCTTCTCCGTCACTTTTTAAATACCTGTCCACCGTCTCGGTATTTCATTATTTTAACGATGTATAAAGCTGCCGTTATTCATATAGTCCAACTTTTTAATATTGCAGATGATTGTTGGAATTATTATAAATGAGTGTTGGAACACCTATGCTCGATTAATTTCATCACACGTATTTCATTGATATGTTAATTTATTATCACTATTTAAACAAGGATATGTATTGTTTTTAATTGTTAAAAATCTTGAATCTTTTTATTTAATCTCCTTCAGTACCTTTCATTCACAATTTTAAATTCACGAAAATTTACAAAAATAAAAAAAATCTCCACAGGTACAAAAAAATTTCTCCCGCACATATAAAAATCATAAAAGTCTTCGAACAGCACTGCACTCGGACTTATATTTTCCGATATCTTGACAGTATCCAAAACACACCTTTTATACGACAGTTTATTTCGAGGTTTTAATGTTCCAAACGCGATCAGCACACTGGCCCATAAGGGCTGTCGTGAAGACGGAACCTCTTAGGGCATTGATCTTAATCTTCCACTTACCGTAGTAACGTAGTAAACAGAGAGAGTCCTAAGGTAATTGTTAAGCTCAATGTAGTTTCAACTGGGGAAGTTGGACCTCATGCAGATGAGACAATCATCTGTATAGCAGATTTGCCTAATGCATTGAGGAGGAAGGGAAAATGAGAAGGAAGGAGAAGGAAATATTTACAAGGATGGGGTATTCGCTAGAAACAGCCATTACTCGAAACAGCTGTATGGTCAGCTAAAAATTCAATTAACTAAAAATTTCGTTTTTACAATTCACTACTGTTCGAAACCTGTCAGTTACATTTTATAATTTTTTAATTGTTATGTCATGATTTCAATTATAAAATAATTAATAATCAATTTAAAAACAAAATATTTTTCTTATAATTTGGTACTATTTAAAAACCTTTGCATTAGCAAAACAGTTTTCTTCGTAATTTTCGTCGTAATTATCTTTAAATCTACATTCGTTTAATTTTGGAGAATCGCTCAATTTTATAAGAAACTTATAAATAAAGTGTTCAATTAAAAATTAAAGGATAACTTCAAAATACCATATGTATTTAACGAAAAATTGCTTCACATTCGGTTATACTTTTTATAATAGAAAAGATTTTTATTTTCTACAATCCATAATAAGCGATGAAACTATTTTCCAGAATTGATAGAACCCTAGTTTAATGGACAATAAAATTTGCAACATTGGTGACTTTCCTTGTTCTAGTATTCTATTTTATTAAGAAAATATCCTCAGTAATGTCGTTCAGTTATATCTAAATGGGACATAAATATTCTTATATTGTATATAAATTTTAAAATACAAATATAGGTACATTTTTCCTTTGTAAATTAAATTGTTCTTTTTTATTTTCACAATCACTCTTCATTTGTCATTAGAGAGGTTGTAACATATATTCGCCTTGCATAAACATTTCTTCTTGGATAGGTGCATATTTGGTTAAACTTCCCGTTAATAATACTTTCTATTTAAGTCTTTTTTTTATCTAAATTCGAAATTTTAAGCCCACATTTAAATGGATTAAAAATAATTTCCTTCTTTTTATCGCATACATTTTGTCAAATAAATTTCGATTTCATCAATGAGTTTTTTAACATCCATCGCACTAGTAATTCGTATGAAATGCGAAAAAAAACATCAGATACAGAATCCGACAGGTCTAGTATTTTAGTGACGACATTGACTCCATATAGCATAATTTAATAGACCTAATCAGCTGTAAGCAATAAGCAATAAGCCGCGTGATGTCATGATATTCCAAATTGTATATGGTACAGTAACAGCTTTGGTAGGATTTACAAGCAGCATTACCTATAAGTATAAATTAATATTTTATTGACTTCTTTTTAATTAAAAATTAGTTTGAGTTTAATTAGTTAATGAAATTATTACAATCATGATTTTATATAGATACTTAGGTGTGGCTAGGTAGTAGCTTAGGTGAATAAAAAGGAGGGTAAATAATATAAAGAGATAGAATCTTTATAGTATACACATTAGACTGTTTTCACACCTATTTCTTATATTGTTTAGAGCACTATTTGTGCTCAGTATTCATTTATTATTCATTTAAATAATAAATAATGAGCTACATTATTTTTATTATTTAACAAGACTAATTCGGTATATACTTTGTGATAATGATTGAAATTATATATTTTCAATTTGAGTTCATATAACCGTAAACATATGCATATATTATACTTTTACACTATTATACTTATAGTTCTGCGATTGACACAGAACTATTCATTTTGTTTAGAAATTATTCTTATCGCTGATCATTAATTGAGTTTATAATGAAGTAAAAACTTCAATAATAGAATATGTAGACAGTGTGGTACTCGCATAACACCAATTTGTTTGGCAGAGGTTCATGTTAAGTAAATATGGTATGTGATTCATTCCAGAGGAACTTAAGGGTGAAATATAGAAAATATATTAATATTAATATATATCATATTGTCAGTTCTTCCGTTGTTTTTCAGTATTTGAATTGATAAAGAACTGACTTTGAATATTTTTACAAATGTTCTCATTTCTATCCCTCGAAAACGGACAGACTCTTTTATGTTGAAGCAGATATGTTATGTTGGATAATATCGGATTATTCAAATAAGGTTTTATATTATTCAACTCATAGGGAATATGTTTTCCGATATCTTTTTACTACCTAAAAGGTACTAACTTTACTATATTACACAAAACTTACATATATGTGAAAAATATAAAAACAGTTTAATTCTTATTAAACTTAGACTAGGTGCTCTCTAGTAATAACAAAATTTAAATTTATTAATAATATCAAGATATTTTGAAGTTACAAAACTGCTATAGACAAGTGTAGGTATTTCACCTGGACCCATGTTAAATACAACTTTCATACCGGTACCTACATCGTGTTTTTATACTTTCTTCCTCATCTCATTCCATATACCAAGTCTTGTCAACCTTTTGTGTGTTTGCTGTGAAATGGGCATTTGGTTACAGCAGTAGCAACAACAACAGATAATACAATAGAATCGTTGGCCTATTTCAGTTAACACTTTTATTTGTTAATATCTTAATTAAACTTAATCAACTGACGATTATAGTTAACAATGAAATTTATAGACTAATATTGCTGGAATTTTCTTGCTGGAGTTTCAATATTCGTAATGGAGGTTATTAATCTTTCAAATCACTATACAATCAATACGTCAACTATTAGAACTTTGTGCCTTTTTTACATATTATAATCCTACTTTCTCAATAATTTCACAATTTAAATATTTTGTTGGTATCACCTTTGAGTAATGTGCTAATATTTGTTTACGTATCTGACGCTCTTCCTCTGTATATTGGAGTGCCTTGTTAAATAATTTACTTTACTTTTAAATTTAAGTAATTTCTCCCATTTACTTTATTTGTTTTTTAGTTGTCATTTGACAACTGTCATTTACAGTGGTGGCAATAAATATGTTCTTTGATATTGAAATGACATGTTTAATAGTGTATATTGTACATAATAATATTCGGACAAACAACTTCCACATTAGGCTTTTAGAACAAAATGTTGTAAAATTTTTTCTTATATGAGGTTAGGATTATGTAAATTAAAATGGATTTAGTGCTAGACTTCAAACAGAAATTAAAATAAGGCATCTTAAAACTGTTTATTTACAGACTATAAAACTATAAAAAAAAAATGTACAATAGGTGTATTCAAGATGTCTGTGCATCGTTGCATGTACAAATTTATTTGATTTTACAAAAACAATTTCTTTTCTTATAATTCTGCTTTTCACTTGTTTTTGGCATTAGTGGAAATTATTATATGCCAAATTATCGAATCTGGGTTATATTTTACAAGCAAATAAATATGTAAACAAAAATCATCTGTTCTAAATATTTTCAAGACTAATATGCACAACGTGTGTTCTCGATTATTTGAGTTTGCAAGGATGCACAGACATCCTGAATACCCCTAATATTTCTTTATATAATAAATTTTAAGAAGGTTATGTACACTTTTTCCAATATTTTCTTAATTATGTGTCCATAATATATATTGCTAATGGAATAATAAGGATTCTTTAAAAACAGAAAGGTTTTCAAACATTTTTTTATGAAACAAATAGTATTCTATAGTAGTGCTGTTCGTATTCGGTTTTACGAAGTATTCTCGAACTTATCTGTCGAAGGATCTATTAGAAAGGAACTGGTGGATAACACTACAGAGTGTTGTAAGGAAGCCGAAGTGGCATAGTTTGTGCATCAGACCTTCGAACCATACGGTGTCGAAGGAAAGCCTTCCAACACTCTGTTGTTGCTTTCAATACAAAATGAAAATTTGACACTAGCATCTCACTTCATTTTGCATTAAAAGCAACAACAATTGCCATGACGTGACTGCAATCATAACAAGCCGCTTAGACAATTCCATTTATTTCATTGATTAGACGTTAAAAATATAAATAATTATACAACCAGCTCAACTGCAAAGTTAAGCTGCTTTGCTATAAACAGCTAATTCGCGCCTTATTCACGTACGCCTTTCACTATTTGGTCTGCAATCTCTTTCGCCCATATGGAAAGAATCTGTCTTTTCGAGATATATATGTATGTTCTTTGTTTTTGGTTGAAACTTTTAAGAAAAAAAATGTATTTGAAACAAATGAACTCTAAATTATTTGAGTTTATAGAAATTTTCTTTGATGTTGTGGTGCTTTTATATGTATTTTTAACCATTATATATCATTTATATACCATATATATGGTATATAAATTAATTTCTTTTAAGGTTTTTCAATAATTTTTGTAATTTCTATGTAATTATTTTCCTTAAACTTTTACATTGTATAAAAATAATATGCACTTATTTCATTTACCGATATTGATTAAAACAACATTTGCTTTTAAATTCACTTCAATTACTACTTATTTATAAAATAAATTGTTTTATATCATAACAAAAAAATATGTTTTTAATTATTTAAATTTCTTTTCTTAATTTATGTTTAACTAAATTATATATATATATATATATGCATAAATTTTTAATTGATTCGTATTATTGTGTTCAAGATTTCTCCTCAAAACAAAATTTTTCTTATAAATTTTAAATTTAAAATCAAATTTTTTTTAATATAATAATAAAATATGTAGGAATTGTACTGCTTATAAGATCTTTTCAAATGTGGACTCGGTTATCTTCTCCGTTACTCGCGGTCACTTTTTAAATACCTGTCCACCGTCTCGGTATTTCATTATTTTAACGGTGTATAAAGCTGCCGTTATTCATATAGTCCAACTTTTTAGTATTGCAGATGATTGTTGGAATTATTATAAATGAGTGTTGGAACACCTATGCTCGATTAATTTCATCACACGTATTTCATTGATATGTTAATTTATTACCACTATTTAAACAAGGATATGTATTGTTTTTAATTGTTAAAAATCTTGAATCTTTTTATTTAATCTCCTTCAGTACCTTTCATTCACAATTTTAAATTCACGAAAATTTACAAAAATAAAAAAAATCTCCACAGGTACAAAAAAATTTCTCCCGCACATATAAAAATCATAAAAGTCTTCGAACAGCACTGCACTCGGACTTATATTTTCCGATATCTTGACAGTATCCAAAACACACCTTTTATACGACAGTTTATTCCGAGGTTTTAAAGGTCAAACGCGATCAGCACACTGGCCCATAAGGGCTGTCGTGAAGACGGAACCTCTTAGGGCATTGATCTTAATCTTCCACTTACCGTAGTAACGTAGTAAACAGAGAGAGTCCTAAGGTAATTGTTAAGCTCAATGTAGTTTCAACTGGGGAAGTTGGACCTCATGCAGATGAGACAATCATCTGTGTAGCAGATTTGCCTAATGCATTGAGGAGGAAGGGAAAATGAGAAGGAAGGAGAAGGAAATATTTACAAGGATGGGGTATTCGCTAGAAACAGCCATTACTCGAAACAGCTGTATGGTCAGCTAAAAATTCAATTAACTAAAAATTTCGTTTTTACAATTCACTACTGTTCGAAACCTGTCAGTTACATTTTATAATTTTTTAATTGTTATGTCATGATTTCAATTATAAAATAATTAATAATCAATTTAAAAACAAAATATTTTTCTTATAATTTGGTACTATTTAAAAACCTTTGCATTAGCAAAACAGTTTTCTTCGTAATTTTCGTCGTAATTATCTTTAAATCTACATTCGTTTAATTTTGGAGAATCGCTCAATTTTATAAGAAACTTATAAATAAAGTGTTCAATTAAAAATTAAAGGATAACTTCAAAATACCATATGTATTTAACGAAAAATTGCTTCACATCCGGTTATACTTTTTATAATAGAAAAGATTTTTATTTTCTACAATCCATAATAAGCGATGAAACTATTTTCCAGAATTGATAGAACCCTAGTTTAATGGACAATAAAATTTGCAACATTGGTGACTTTCCTTGTTCTAGTATTCTATTTTATTAAGAAAATATCCTCAGTAATGTCGTTCAGTTATATCTAAATGGGACATAAATATTCTTATATTGTATATAAATTTTAAAATACAAATATAGGTACATTTTTCCTTTGTAAATTAAATTGTTCTTTTTTATTTTCACAATCACTCTTCATTTGTCATTAGAGAGGTTGTAACATATATTCGCCTTGCATAAACATTTCTTCTTGGATAGGTGCATATTTGGTTAAACTTCCCGTTAATAATACTTTCCATTTAAGTCTTTTTTTATCTAAATTCGAAATTTTAAGCCCACATTTAAATGGATTAAAAATAATTTCCTTCTTTTTATCGCATACATTTTGTCAAATAAATTTCGATTTCATCAATGAGTTTTTTAACATCCATCGCACTAGTAATTCGTATGAAATGCGAAAAAAACCATCAGATACAGAATCCGACAGGTCTAGTATTTTAGTGACGACATTGACTCCATATCGCATAATTTAATAGACCTAATCAGCTGTAAGCAATAAGCAATAAGCCGCGTGATGTCATGATATTCCAAATTGTATATGGTACAGTAACAGCTTTGGTAGGATTTACAAGCAGCATTACCTATAAGTATAAATTAATATTTTATTGACTTCTTTTTAATTAAAAATTAGTTTGAGTTTAATTAGTTAATGAAATTATTACAATCATGATTTTATATAGATACTTAGGTGTGGCTAGGTAGTAGCTTAGGTGAATAAAAAGGAGGGTAAATAATATAAAGAGATAGAATCTTTATAGTATACACATTAGACTGTTTTCACACCTATTTCTTATATTGTTTAGAGCACTATTTGTGCTCAGTATTCATTTATTATTCATTTAAATAATAAATAATGAGCTACATTATTTTTATTATTTAACAAGACTAATTCGGTATATACTTTGTGATAATGATTGAAATTATATATTTTCAATTTGAGTTCATATAACCGTAAACATATGCATATATTATACTTTTACACTATTATACTTATAGTTCTGCGATTGACACAGAACTATTCATTTTATTTAGAAATTATTCTTATCGCTGCTCATTAATTGAGTTTATAATGAAGTAAAAACTTCAATAATAGAATATGTAGACAGTGTGGTACTCGCATAACACCAATTTGTTTGGCAGAGGTTCATGTTAAGTAAATATGGTATGTGATTCATTCCAGAGGAACTTAAGGGTGAAATATAGAAAATATATTAATATTTATATATATCATATTGTCAGTTCTTCCGTTTTCCAGTATTTGAATTGATAAAGAAATGACTTTGAATATTTTTTCAAATGTTCTCATTTTTATCCCTCGAAAACAGACAAACTCTTTTATGTTGAAGCAGATATGTTATGTT